GACTTTTAACGATTAATGAACCCTATAGATACATCCCAGTATAGCTTCCTGAGTGAGCTGCCAAAGAGATTACCCAACCAAGTCGGTAAGGCGGTACTGTATTGGCGTACCGCCCCAAAACACGTTTGTTTGTTTCTTTAAATGAAATAGAGTACATAATTCCGAAAAAGGGTTCAGTGATCGAAGGTTCGTAATTCCGGAAGACAATAGGCCCGCATCTAGTTTCTATGTCATTTTAGGAATTAAGAACCTTCGGGATTATGAATCCTATCTTGTTTCTAAATTATGAACCATATTTCATCTTCAAAATTGCGAACCGTATTTCATTTTTAACCTTAGGAAAATAGAAAAAGTGACAGGGTGTTATGCAGGCTTAAACGACTTATTCAGCTTGTGTGTGTGTGTCATGTCTAAGTCTACGAGTTGAAAATATGCAATATGGTCGAATGGCGTCTTTTACCTTTTAACTCGAAACATGAATCTCTCAAATATGTTTAGAAATCTAAGTATGATAAAAAATATAATTATTGTGTGTTACCGGATTATCATAATTTTTTTTAAATTCTTAAAGGGCTTATTGATTTTCCATTATGAATGACAAGAAATTTGTAATGGTATAATCTTTTTTTTTTGTAAGATGGTATGGTCTGTAGACGTGTACATGAAACCACGTTTAGCATATTTGTTATTTGCACGATCCAGCATGTATTAGCATAGACGAACGAGTACTCTTTCAAATCATTCTTACAGGTCTGATGGAACGATATCGTATGAGGCATTAACCTATTATCGGATATTATCGCTCTTATTTCGTACTACAGAAAAGCTCTTCAATGAATTGGAGGCCTGCAGTTAGAACATTTCTGCACTCTTTTGTATTCTTCCTCGTCTTTCTGTTGAACTTTGATGCCTTTAGTTCAGAATAAAAACTTGTGCTTCTTGTCGTCCGATTTTAAAACAGCATTAGTCATCCACGGTTTTACTCCCATTCCCCCCCCCCCCCCCCCTTTTCAGATTCTTCGAAGTTAGTGACATCATTGTTGCATGCTTGTCATAGACTTGCGCAAACAATTCGTAAAATACAGAGTATGACTCAATACATTTTGTACAACCTCTTACATAATCACGATCAATTTTACCTAGATCTTTCTGAAATGTATTAATATAAAAATGTATGAAGGTACGATACACTAGCCTTCATACATGTAAGATGTTCAAAGGCACCAAGGATAGGAAAATGATCTGAAATATCAGTTTATATTATAACTCCTGCATGAATAAAAGAATTTGTTATACCAGCGTTTTTCAACCTTTATTTTTTTATTTATTTATTTTTTTTTTTTGGGGGGGGGGGGGCAATCACCTCGGCCTTTTCGGAAATAAATGGTTTCGCGTTACCCTAATCCCGAATTCATCAGATTATATTACTTGTACATCACCCTGAAACTCGTCAAGTTTCATGTACATACTAACGGGCATACTTATTTTTTTATTAGAGTCTCTCCCCCTCCCCATTACATCTTTAATATATTAACCCTTACTGTACTGGGGTGGGGGGGGGCCTGGGAGGCCCCCCTCGACATTTTCAGAGATCGTGCCGCAATCGCTTGGAATTTTGAATTGTCGTTTCATGACTTTTTTCCCTCAAGTCTTGCGCACATTTTGATACCATTTTCGTCAAAATCGGATATACCTGTAAGGTGTTACATAACAATTAGTATGCGCATGTCATAAAAAAAATGCTATAATTGCATATATTCATGTACAAGCAGAAATGTGAAGATATGAATTGATATCAAATTGCTTTTATATGTTTCTCAGAGTAACTTGATGTATTCCAGAACAAAATAATACATTAGAAATAAAACAATAGATATAATAAGAAATAAACAACAATAAAATACATAAGTAAATAAATAGTTGAAAATCGCATCAAATTTGCATAAATTATCATTATTAATTACATCAAATAACTATTTTGTGTTAGAAAAGAAGTTTCATATGAATAATGAGTTTCAATATTCAAAAAGTGGAGTCTGACAATTTTTGTAATGATTCTAGTTCCCTAAATATAGTTCCAGATTTGATATTCATGAATGCGTAATTTGCGTATTCATAATTTATGCAAATTAACCTATGAATTTTCAAATATCATAAAATTCAATACATTTTCAAGATTCTTCACAAGTCTACGGACAAATATGTAGAGTTTTCTGTAAAATGCATAAAATTAGCATTTTGCATAATTGATTAGGCTATAACGACAAAAATTTGCATGTTAGGAAAAAACTAATTTTAGGGCATCCCGTTGCCCGGAATTATTTCATTTCTAAATTCTGCGAGCAGTAAAAATATAATTGTTATGTAGAAGTTATACCATATCTTTGCTGTCATATAAAATGAGGTTCAGACAACTCCTTGCCAAATATGTAGCTATTCAGGCACTTCACTACCTGCAATCTGCCTGCTTCTAAATGATGCGAGCGAGTGAAGCAAGCTTGGAAGAAATACACTTTTTTTGTCTTTAATATGCTATTTTCTCATAGAAAACGAAACCGACGTTGCTCAGATAAATTTTTGATGTTACTAAATTTCTCTGGCGGCACCCCAGTAAAAAAAAACGCTGGTATATACGCAATTACACATGGTCTATACGAGAGGTAGTTGTTTTTAGTTCCACAATGTTGGTGAAGTGGTTAGTTGCTGCATACCCAAACATTGCAAAATTGTTCAGCTTTCATATTTAACCCTTTCCTTCATTAATATCAAAATCTCCAATAAAATGTTGTCAGTTTTCAATTTAAGAAGCACTGGAGTAAAAACTTTACCCTGTGACCCTGTGGCAGTGAACTTAAGGGAGGGGAGGCGAGGGGCGAAACCCCCTAACACGAGAGAGGAAATCAAAGCCTATGGCTCCTTCACCCTTTGCACCTTGTTGTGTCCATTCAAGGGTTGTCATCGGATTGTTCCTCTTGCATCCCCATATTCGCCTCTGCTCAGTCCAAACACTATGGACATTTGGGGGACTGGTGCAGGATAAAAATAGCTTAGAGGGGCCGTTTATTTCGGAAAAGGGGTTCTTTAAAAACATTTGGCCGAATATCAGAAGAAGAAGAAAAAAAAAAAACGAAAAACGTTTTTGGCATGATTATCCCTCTTCAAGACCACTTTCACTTCAAAAAAAGAATCTTTATAAACAAAATAAATCCAGAAGGCCTGCATCGTTGTGAAATGGAGAAAACATTCTGAATTATTTTTTGCTCTTTCCCGAAACAAAATTCTTGTTCATTCCCTTGAACTTGCTCCAATCTCAACTTTAACAATCCAGGCACCGCCACTTGTCGTTCATCATTGTTGGCTCTTATTTATCATCCCTTGTGGCATAATCTACCGGCATTTTCCATCATTTGTTTGTTTGTTGATTGAGATACAGAATAATAATAATAATAATAATTAACCGTTCTTGTATAGCGCATAAAACATAGTATTAAAAAATGTCCCTATGCGCTCTAGAGAAAAAAACATAACAGAATACAAAGACAAGACATACTGGGTAACGGACAAAATGGATGAATTAAATGTTAAATAAGTGCGTCTTTAAAGCAATCTTAAACTTAACAATAGAGTCAATGTTTTTTAGATGTTCCGGGAGATTGTTCCATGAAGTTGAGGCAGTGTGAGCGAAGCTGCGTTCACCATATGACCTGGTCATCACTGGTGGAATAACAAACAATTTTTTCTTATTAGAACGAAGATTTCTAGAAGGTGTGTACAATGTTAATAGCTCAATCAAATAAGGAGGCGCAAAATCATAAAAACATTCATAAGCTAACAACAATATTTTGAATAAAATGCGAGAGTGAATGGGTAGCCAGTGTAAGTCTCTTAAAATAAGAGACACAGATTCATGTTTCCTAATACGATAAATAAGACGAGCTGCTGAGTTCTGCACAACCTGCATCTTCTGGTTATGATGATTTCATACCTGTGCATCCTTTCAAGTGTTATTTGTTTCATAAATGAATACTTGGATAATGGCATTGATTCTGAAGTTATTTAAAGCATAACTCCTTTAGGGAGGCACTTGTTTATCCAAAGGTTTGCAATTTCTTAAGTTTGTAATTCTGAAAATGAAATATGGTACATAATTCCGAAAATAGACAAAGGTTATTCCAAAGATTCGTAATTCCGAAGAAAAAAAAGAAAAAAATATGTACCTTTATTAAGGTCTTATTTCATTTTCGGAATTATGAACCTTTGGGATTATGATTCCATTCATTTTCAGAACTACGAACCTTTGGAATAACAAATTTTCAGATCAACCTTAGGAAAATACGATATGTAACCAGGTTTTATGCAGGCTTTAGCGACTTAATCATTTTTTGATATCATGTCTTAATCTACGTCGAGTTGAAATTTGCAATATAGCCAAGTGGCTTTTCTACTTTTAATTTGAAACATTGATCTGCGTAAAATGTTTGAAAATCCAAGTTTGATAAATTTAAAAAAAAAAGTATCATACCAGAATATTATGAATTCATCAAGACATAAAGGGCTTATTAATTTTCTTTTTAATGGCAACAAAATGTTTAATGGTACAAATTTATTTCTAAGTTATGATGGTCAGTAAACGTGTATATAGAATCAAGACCATCCAGTCGAGGGAGAGTGTGTAGGATAGTTATCATCTTTTCTCCCATTTTCCATGTCCCCTCTCCCACCCCCCCCCCCCTCGAGCTCTCTCTTTCTTCTTGACTTGTCTTTCTTTTATTTTGCCGGGGATGTGATGGAGGAGAGCTAGGGAGCAACTGCTATTGTTTTCCCGTTACTTTGGAGAATTTAAAGATTGTCTTGGGACAAAAAGAAAATCTTCTAAGCATTAATTAACCATATAGGATGTCGGTAAAGTGGTACTGTAAGACGTACTGCAAAATAATGCATTTGTTTGTTTGTTTCTAGGAGTATATATTTCTCTATCCTCTGATTTGCATTTTATGTAGGCGCCTTCTTCTTCCAGTATGAGAGTTCAGCAGAGTTTACCGACTCGACGATTGTTAATCTAAATGTGGATAAACCGATCTCTTTGACCAATCCCTTCAAGACCAACGGGAAGAACTACAGCACAATATTTGTAAGTTTACTACAGACTTCATTCATTGCTAATGGTATAATAATATGGAACCACGTTCTCTAGCTGCCTCCCACTCTCCGGAATGCCATTTAACGCGTCTTGATTCTCTCTCCTCCTCTCAACATTTGATTTTGTTTTTATAAAGTCAAGTGTGTGTGTGTGGGGGGGGGGGGGGTCAATATGCATCATGGCATGGAGTGCTGATTGTTCTGTTTCGATGTAAGGAATTGTTTGCATATATTATTGTCATACACACCCACTTTGCCCACAAACACACCTTTTTTGCACGGTATGACGTGTACAAAAGTAAATTAGACTGCCCACATCTCTTCAATGCGCGTAACCTCCCACCTTCCTGCTGAATGTAGTGTACTCAAGAGGGTCCACAGGATCACAAAATAGATACCCTTAATTGTCTTAGCCGTGCGCATCCGAGGTGAAGGCAACCTGAATGTAGGAGTCCCTCCCACCTCCCTGCTGTATGTAATCGAGAGGGCCTAAATCCAAAGGGTCACAAAATTGATACCCTTAATTTCATATGACAAATATTGCATGCATTTTATTGTTCAATATAACATATATTGACCTCCAAATCCAGAATTTACCCTGTGCTATTATAATTCGACCTAGGATTGCGGCCTCAGTGAAATATAACACCACTGGGCAGATACTGCATTTTCTCGGTTCACATTTATGTATATATATATATATATATTAGGGCTGTGACGAGAAGTCGAATGCTCGAGTACCCGCACCGTTGACAACTACTTGAGTACGATTTCTTGTACTCGAATATTCGGCCGCAAAAAAATTCAAAAAAATTATAAAAAAACATGGCGTCCGAATATTCAAGTATTCGCTTGTAAGCCTGGGAGTGTACTCGAGTACCTCATTACACTGTTTTGCACAGCCCTAATATATATATATATATATATATATATATATATATATATATATATATTAATAGGCTGTCCTTGAGTGTTATATCATATATATTGCATTCCTATACTAGCAGAATGCAATATATACATGTTTGATATGCCAAGAAAGAAAGTCAATATTATTATTATTATTACCGGTATCATATACATAAAACAAATCAAACTACAGTGAAATCTAATGGATTAAAAAAAGATCAATTTATCAAATCATATTCCAACAGTGTCTCGGCTGGTCTTATAAAGCAAAATTTTGCAATTCAAAATGAGAAGGAAGAAAAAATCTCCGCAATACTAACAATGCATTTTTTATATAATGGGGTTCTATTCAATTCAGTGGGTACGTCAGGAAAACAATTGATAAAAAAATTTCGGGGGCTACATTTCAAGCTTGCTTGCATGAAAATAACATTCTTTAATTTGTTTGCATTGAACTCTATGCAAATTAGGGGGGCTCTTTTGTTACTTTCGTGTGCTCTTTTGGGCATTTTGGGGGCTAATTCGCCCCGAGCCCCCGTTTGTGTATTTTCCCCCAGGGGTACATTAAGTTTGTATTTTAATTAGAACTTTACTTGACTAAGTTATATGTCTTTTCTCGTATTCAGATAATATCTTAGCAATTTACTGAAGCAAGTCGACTTTAAGGCAAAAAAAAAACTGATAAACATTGCGACGTCACATGGTCCATCAAAACTTGCATGCTTATAACGCTCAGCATGCAATATTGTAAAGATAATGCACGCCGTTTGTCCATCGGTGGAGTGACGTGTTGTACGGAGGAAAAGCAATATGATGACAATATTGAACTCGACCAATAAAAGGGAATAAACTACATGATTATATTCTCTGGGAGAAAAGAGGCTTGTATGTAAAATAATTTGTTATTCTTTCATACTATTACACTATTTGTATACTATTTTGTCTTGACATGCAGGTATCTGGTACTGCTGGGTATATTTTCACTGACTCAGCATTCATTGATATCCTCTGTAGGTCTCAAGGCGATATCATCGGCGATGTCTATTTCAGGTGCTGTATCACATTTGTACTTGATTAGATCTTATTGGCCATGTAGAGTCGATGTTAATTTCTACTTAAAACTTTCGCTGTATGCTAACAATGAAGTCGTTGTTCGAAATAATATTTGTTCATCAAAGATGCAGGAAGAAATGGGGAAAAGCATGGATATGCAGAGCGGTTAAAAGAGATTCAGATAGATTATTTGAGAGAGAGAGAGAAAGAAAGAGATACAGGGGGAGGAGGGGGACTAGACATTCACACATACCCTTACAAAAAAAAACACATGGTATACCATGGTACTACCATGGTTGTTATGGTATTACCATGGTATTACCATAATAACCATGGTACTACCATGGTAAGCATAATTCTACCATGGTACTACCATGGTACTACCATGGTACTGCCATACTACCATGGTACTACCGTACTTCCATGGTATTACCATGGTATTACCATAATAACCGTGGTACTACCATGGTAAGCATGATTCTACCATGGAACTACCATGGTACTACCATGGTACTACTGTTCTTCCATGGTACTACCATGGTACTACCATGGTTAATATGATTCTGTGTTTGGCACTAGTTTTAATTTGTTTGTCATTTGTTTTTGCTCTTTTTCAGTTTCCTTATTACTTATTGAAATCCCGAATCGTTTGCTCAAGGTAACTTTGGGCATGATTTAAACACACGAAGCATAACCGAGTGTGTTATAGACCTACCCAAAGTTACCGCGTCCACACAATTCCACCGACCCACAAATCTGTTTCAAAGAATGGTCTTAAAATTTTGAAAACAAAAACAACAACAAATTAGCGGACGCATGAAACCAAATAAAAAAAACATAAGAATTAATAACAAAATAATAATTAAAATATTTCAGAATCATGAAGAAAAAACAAAACAATTATAATAATTATTGTTCAAAAACATTTGAAAAGAATTAGATAAAAAAAAAATCAAAAATTCATATCATTAAAAACACAATTTTTATGAATAAAAAAAATATTCAAACAAAAATATAAGAATTGTAGAAAGAAAAAAATATATTTAAAAAAATGATATCGCGTGTATCCAGTACAATTATGTAATTTCATAGTCCTTATGTTTTCTAACATTTTAGTTGAAATAAAAAACTGACAGTTAAAAAATACATTATTTTAACAAATTCATTAATGTAGTTAAAACGTGTGCAATTAAAATTAGGGGAAAGCTAGGAGTGGAAAACTCTTAACTTTCATTTGGCCATTTATCAAGGGTGTGTAAATTAGAAATTGTGCAACAGCTTGAAATATCATAAAGAAGGTCTGCACAAGTCAAGACTATATACCTACAGGCCCCATATACATATACATATACACACATATACACACATACACACACGTACACACAACCAATCCTTTGGAACCGTTGTGCAATATAACCCCGCATTTTTTGAATGGCTAGCTATGTGTACTGTGTACGTGTCAAAGGATCGCTGTACAAAGCTTGCATTGGGAATAGTGCACACACAAGCTACTGTGTGCATTATAAATTCACAATGTAGCTTTGCCTAGACAGGAGCTAGACTGAATCTTGGTGTTTTCTCTGCAAAATAATGCTGAATACTGAGTTTTCCTGCTAATCTACAACAGTATGGGTAAGTTTAAGAATCATCTACCTTATTTACAATATGTACATAGATCTACTCGATGTCTAGATAGTTATTTATGACAGTGTTAACTGGGACTTAAAACACATTCCGACAGGATAAGACTGAACATGTATGATCCCATATGTACAATTTACGTGACTTGATGTAGGATCTTAATGGGTTATGGGGCAGATATCATTCAAAGCAAAATTTGTACATTTACATACACATTAACTCTGCTGTGATAATAGTATCATTGTTCGCAGGATTTAATGTTTTATTCTTTTTAGAACATGAATAGAATACTGCATAAAACCCCAGCATATTAACTAATTACGCTAAATCGATGTCATGTCTGCGTCTGTGACTGTGTGATTTCATGTTGACAGTTGTTGATATTCATATTTGTTTTTGTTATAGACTCTAATTCAGAATTGTCTTTTTTAAATCACAGATATAGACGCAACATGACAAATGAGTAGTTTCCATATCGACCTCGTTCTTTATCATCATCTTCACCAATACATCAACGCCACCATCACCATGTCTTTGACGTCGACCTCCGTTTTCGCGTTTAAACTTTGAAGATTGTTGCGAACTCTAATAATGAATTGGATATTGGCATTATCGACGTTTGTTCTGTTTTTGAACACTGTCGCATCAAACTTTGATTGAAGGTAAGAACCTCCTTTTTACCTTCTTCGATTTGCGTTTCGTCGTTTGCAGGTCTGATCCTGACTCCGACTAAAGATGACCTAACCTATCGTTTTGTCTTCAATCACCCTCGACGTCAAACTCTATACCGCGTTTCACCATCGCCGAACACGGACTCCGCAACCGATTGACATTGCCGACTGGCCGAATGACTTTCGTTCATCATTCATTTTTTAACTGTATATGATCACCGACATCTACGATCTGCCAAGAAGGCCTAGTCAACAATTGTTTCTTAAAATTTCGTCTTTCGACTGAATTCGAGTACGACATCGTCAACGAATCTCGCACCTCCGCTGGAAGGACAGTTTGTATAATGTACTATGTAATTTGAATATGAGCGGCAGTCTTCCGCTATAGAAATAGACTAACCACTTTATAATATTGTTGTGTGCTGAAAATGTTTAGTGTCATGTATAATGATGTAACAAGCGGCAGTCTTCGCTATAGAAATAGACTTCAGTTTTCGACTGTAAATTGTTTTATATATTTTACGCGAGCTAGATTTTAGCTCGTTTGAATAAACGTTTTTTTTTTTAAAGTAAACACATTGTTTCCATTGTTTGATGTTTGATACGTCATATGATCATTTAACAATAATGATCAACATGATTGTGATGTCTTTTGTTAACAGATCGTGTTTGCGAGAGAAGCGGCTGAATGGATAATTGAGTTGAAAGTGAACATGCCAGCTCCTGTCATTTTTGCGTCTACTTTGCAGACCACTAGCATGCTATTTCAAAATTAAATAAACAAGGGCTGGCAAATATTATGAGGAATACTGTGTTGAAAGTGCTTTAAATATGTAGTAGATTTGTAAATGATACCATGGTACTGGACCACAAAAATACCGTGGTATACCATGGTACTGTACGACGGTAGTATACCACGGTACTGTACCACGGTACTGGACCACAATAATACCGTGGTATACCATGGTACTGTACCACGGTAGTATACCACGGTACTGTACCACGGTACTGGACCACAATAATACCGTGGTATACCATGGTACTGTACCATGGTATACCACGGTATTATTGTGGTACAGTACATAAATGAATTATGGTTCAAGGCATGCCCACATAGAGGATTTTTTTTATGTTAGGGGTCGGGGCCAAATGCAATGAATTATTGATAATTTATTAGGTGGTCTGTCAACGACAGATCACCTATTGTTTTCGTCAGAATTTTCTTTCTTTATTATTTATTTATTATTAGGTGGTCTGTCGATGACAGATCACCTATTGATTTCGTTAGAATTTTCTTTCTTTATTCTTTATTCTTTATTCTTTATTCTTTCTTTATTTATTTTTATTTATTCCGTACACTTTTTTTGTGTATACGTTTACTCGAACTCGACCTGGTCAATTTCCTTCAAATTTCTGCTAGTCATCAGGCCCTATGATATGAAGTTCCCGAAACCTTTTTCAAGTTCATGGGGTCATCGTGACGTCATCCAGGCGCCATTTTGTAAAAATCAGGTCATTATCATATCTCAATAACGAGTAATCAAAAATAAACCATATTTAGTATACATCAACTTCCGGTCAAAGGTCAACTAAAAATGTCAACAAAATCCGTGCGCGCACCTCGACGCGCACGTACGCCCGCTTAAAATTTTTAAAATGCTCCAATTCGTCCCAAATTTTGTTTGCACACGTTTCAGGTCATTTTAAGCATTTCAAAATTTTCCGTCCGTAAGTGTCCCCGCGCGCGTTGCGCGCGCTCACAGCGCGCGTAAAAAGTCAAATTTAATTTTTTTTACATGATTTAGATTCCTCTTACCGTAAATGACAATTTACATTAATTTCAGTCACTCTTGACCTTTCATAAGGCCGTGAGCGCGCGTCAAAGTTCAAAATCCGCGCGTGCTGCTATGGGCAATATAATGCAAATTTGATCAAAAACATGCCATTTTAAAAATCAAAATAGCTCTTCAGATAGTCCATTGACCCCCAATTTTTATATCATGGTTGGAAAAAGCATGAGTTGGAGATATGAATTCATGTCTCATTTGATCCTCAATTAACTCATGACGTCATCATAATGGCCTCCGAACTCAAAATTTCAATTTGCATATTATGACGTCAGCAGATTTTTGAAAAATTGATTGTATCTCTGTAAATATTGATCAATTTTTATCCAAATTTTGATATGTTTTAGCTGAGACAATTCCCTACAGATACAGTCACCACGAATTTTCATTTTGACGAAAGCATCATGGCGCATTTTTGCGATTAAAGGAGGCATGTCAATTTTTTACATTTTGCGTGTATTCTCCATGGGACATGACTTTTTCTGAAAACTGGATTCTACATCCTGTCTTTTGCAAGCAATATCTCCGTCGTTTTAGCTTTGTTTACGCTGAACTTTGAGTATGTTGTAGCTGAGACAATAAGCTATCACAAGTGTGCCCTTTATTTTTCGATCAGATGCCGGGATCATGCTCATATTTCAATTACAAAGTGGGATTTGTGCATTCCATTTTCCGTTTACGTGTAATCTCTATGGGAAATGTTTTGGTATATCGGAAACGCACTCGACTTCCGACCTCGAGGTCCCTGGTTCGAGTCCGGGCGTCTCCAACAATTTTTTTTTCTTCACTTTTTTTTCTTTTTGACCGTTTCACTCTACCATCTCCTTTGAATATTAAAACACGTACAATCGCAAATAATGTAATAAACAACCATATTTACTTTATTATTACCCTATTATCACTAGATCCATTACTTTTTGCGTGTAATCCTTATGGGAGATGACTTTTTCTCAAATCTGGATTCTACATTCTTGTCTTTTGCGAGCAATATCGCCGTTATTTCGGCTTGATTTTTGTTGATTTTTGAGTATGTTGTAGCTGAGACTATATACTATCTAAATGTACTCTCATTTTTTTCAGTCTGATGTCATCGTGGTCTGTTGATGATAATCATCAACATCATCATGATCATCATCATCATCATCATCATCCCCATTACTATCAAGATCATCATCATCATCATCATCATCATTGTTTACATGTCTATATTAAACTTCTCCCTTTCTCAATATAGTAAATATTATAATACATCATAAGACTTGAAGACAGACCACCTAATTCGTCCCCATGACGAATTAAATTTCTAGTTTTTATTTATTCCGTACACTTTTTTTGTGTATACGTTTACTCGAACTCGACCTGGTCAATTTCCTTCAAATTTCTGCTAGTCATCAGGCCCTATGATATGAAGTTCCCGAAACCTTTTTCAAGTTCATGGGGTCATCGTGACGTCATCCAGGCGCCATTTTGTAAAAATCAGGTCATTATCATATCTCAATAACGAGTAATCAAAAATAAACCATATTTAGTATACATCAACTTCCGGTCAAAGGTCAACTAAAAATGTCAACAAAATCCGTGCGCGCACCTCGACGCGCACGTACGCCCGCTTAAAATTTTTAAAATGCTCCAATTCGTCCCAAATTTTGTTTGCACACGTTTCAGGTCATTTTAAGCATTTCAAAATTTTCCGTCCGTAAGTGTCCCCGCGCGCGTTGCGCGCGCTCACAGCGCGCGTAAAAAGTCAAATTTAATTTTTTTTACATGATTTAGATTCCTCTTACCGTAAATGACAATTTACATTAATTTCAGTCACTCTTGACCTTTCATAAGGCCGTGAGCGCGCGTCAAAGTTCAAAATCCGCGCGTGCTGCTATGGGCAATATAATGCAAATTTGATCAAAAACATGCCATTTTAAAAATCAAAATAGCTCTTCAGATAGTCCATTGACCCCCAATTTTTATATCATGGTTGGAAAAAGCATGAGTTGGAGATATGAATTCATGTCTCATTTGATCCTCAATTAACTCATGACGTCATCATAATGGCCTCCGAACTCAAAATTTCAATTTGCATATTATGACGTCAGCAGATTTTTGAAAAATTGATTGTATCTCTGTAAATATTGATCAATTTTTATCCAAATTTTGATATGTTTTAGCTGAGACAATTCCCTACAGATACAGTCACCACGAATTTTCATTTTGACGAAAGCATCATGGCGCATTTTTGCGATTAAAGGAGGCATGTCAATTTTTTACATTTTGCGTGTATTCTCCATGGGACATGACTTTTTCTGAAAACTGGATTCTACATTCCCGTCTTTCACGAGCAATATCTCCGTCGTCTTAGCTTAGTTTTCGCTGAGCATCGAGTATCTTGTAGCTGAGACAATAAGCTATCACAAGTGTGCCATTTATTTTTCGATCAGATGCCGGGATCATGCTCATATTTCACTTGCAAAGTGGGATTTGAGAATTTTATTTTCCGTTTACGTGTAATCGCTATGGGAAATGTTTTGGTATATCGGTAACGCACTTGACTTTGGACCTCGAGATCCCTGGTTCGAGTCCGGGAATCTGCAACAATTTTTTTTTCTTTTTTTTTCTTTTTTGACTTTTCTATGATCATAAAATTGAAAACAGACCACCTAATTCGTCCCCATGACGAATTAAATTTCTAGTTTATTTTTATTTCTCCCCACTTTTTTGTGTAGACGATAACTCAAGATCCGTCCAGTCAATTTCGTTCAATTTTGGCACAGTCATAGGTCATTGTCATGAGACGTGACAGGAACATTTTCAAGGTCATCAGGTCTTCATGACGTCATCCAGGCGCCATTTTGTGTTTTTTTTGGTACTTTCAACTCATGATCATATCTTCTTAACGGAAAGGCATTTCTCATTCATATTTATCATGATTAAGGTCAATATCCGTCCGGTCAATTTCGGGTCAAAAAACGCGCGCGCATGCGTACGTCCGCGCGTCAGCGCGCGCGCAAAAAATAAAAATGCTCCAAATCGTTTAAAATTAATTTTGCATACGTTCTAGGCCATTTTAAGCGTTTCGCAAAAAAAAGCTCACACACTCGTGCGCGCGCGTTTTCGCGCGTACTGGTATTTGCCAACATAAAATCGCCAAATTTTCTCTGTCATCATATTTGGCACATTTTTCCAAGCATTTTGATACCTTGTTCACCTTTTTCTGCCCATTAATAATGGAATGAGCGTCCGTTTAAGATAATGTCCGTGCGTGCGAGCTCTTGTAATACATAGCATACATGGGCAAAAACATGCCTATACAAAATCCATTGTAGCGCTTTAGGATGCAAGGTAACCTCAATTTTTTTTTCATATTTTAATAGAGTTTGAGTCGGAGATATGATTTCATGTCTCTTTTGACCCTCAATTAACTCATGACGTCATCATAATGGCCTCCGAACTCAAAATTTCAATTTGTATATTATGACGTCATCATATTTTTGGAAAATTGATTGTATCTCTGTCAATATTAATCAATTTTCTTTCAAATTTGGATATGTTCTACCTGAGAATATTCTCTACAAATGCAGTCAACACGATATTTCATTTTGACAAAGGCATCATGGCGTATTTTTGCGATTAAAGGAGGCATGTCAATTTTTCACATTTTGCGTGTATTCTCTATGGGACATGACTTTTTCTCAAAACTGGATTCTACATTATCGTCTTTCGGGAGCAATATCTC